TACCCCTCCCCCACCGCCCTCAGTTCACCCTGCCAGCACTCACCCTATCTGCTCAGAACCCACCAGCAATACAGCCCCCCCAGCCCATCAGCCCCCCACTCACTTCAGCTCCCCTGTACCCCCCACGCCATAATAAAGCCCTCCCAGCCCCACCTCTGCTCCACCTGGAGATCTTCACCCTCCCTAGGCCTGGGAACTACAGTGGGGGCCCCTCTCCCACTTCCCAGGCTGGCAGGGGAGCAGCCGCACTGGGGTGGTGACAGCGGGAGCCCCAGCCGTGCCCAGGGCAGCTGGCAGGATTTCTAAGTAAAATTATGCCTCATTTTTAGAACTCTCAAATGTCGGGATTTTTTTTAGCCACGGCTCTATGGTGAGATCATGAGTGAGGCTTAATTTTACTCAGAAATCGCATCTCTCATGAATAGTTCATGAGAGTTGGCATGTCTGCTAATAGGTGATGTCTACTGAACCCCTTCTGGCATTTTAAACATTTTTTCTTTTGACATATAAAGTAGAGAGAGGAAACAGAAATGTCTATTTCTAATTTTCCCATTCTTCATTGCACCACTTGTGCATTTGCTGTATGTGATGTATGCGCACAGGGCCGGCTCCAGCATTTCTGCCGCCCCAAGCAAAAAAAAAAAAGCCGCGATTGCGATCGGCGGCGGCAATTGGGGGAAAAAAAAAGCCGTGATCGGTGGTGGCAGTTCAGCGGCAGGTCCTTCACTCCTAGAAGAAATGAGGGACCTGCTGTCCCCGAATTGCCGCAGGTGCCGCCCCTCTCCCTTGGCCGCCCCAAGCACCTTCTTGTTAAGCTGGTGCCTGGAGCCGGCCCTGTATGCGCATAAAGAGTTCTGAGAATGAGGTGAGATGTTCCTCTCTGATTTGCCAATAGGCTCATTTTGAAACTCTTTGATCTCTATGGATATCCACTGCTCGCCCCCTCTCCTGCACCACAGTCCATCTGGTTACCCCAACCACTAGTTACAAATTCTAAATTCTAATACAGAAAAGAATCGACGTTTCTGTTTTTAGGGAAGATCTGGGTAGCCACCAGTAATATGTTGCTCAGCTCCTGTCAAATGCAAAATTGAAACAAAACCTGAACTATGGGGCTGCCAATGAGCCACCATAATTCATAGGAAAGTTTTCACTCCCCCTTTCATAAGAGAAATTTACCTTTGTCCAACCGCTGTCTAGATGACAGAGAGTCTAGAGGAAGAAATGCGTGAAAAAGATGAAATGTCAGGTTGTCATGGTTAGGGATATATTCACATTGTTAATGTTCTGACACAAAAGCAAAATGAAAAGAAAACAAACTTTATGAAGTTCTAGTTAAGGAGGTTAAGTGCAATTCAGACCAATACAAACCATTACACACCTCACTAAAAATAACCACAAACATTAAAAACTAAGGACATGACCTAAGGTTACATGACAGACCCAGAGATGTTTTACCAGCGATTACACACCTGTGGTTGGCCCATGACAGCTGACTCGGGCTCGCAGGGCTCGGGCACTAGGGCTGTTTAATTGTGGTGTAGATGCTGGGACTTGGGCAGAGGCCTGGGCTCTGGACCCTGTGACGGGAGAGAGTCGCAGAGCCCAGGCTCCAGCCCGAGCCCGAACCTCGTGAGCCGGAGTCAGCGGACACGGGTCAGTCACGGGTGTTTAACTGCTGTGTAGACAAACCCTCTGAAACCAACACATCACTCACAGACAGACCCACACACAGACACTTTTTCACTGATTAGCATTCAATCAACTTTACATCTGCCCCTGTTCCACTAGTACTTAGTAAAACTGGCTCATCCTTCCTGACAGCCCTGGTGGTCTCATTCTCTCCAGCTCAGGTGGATAAATGGTGGAGAATCTCTAACGCAAGGATAGGGATCCTATGGCCCGTGGGGCAGATCCGGCCTGCTGCTAAATTTCATCCAGCCTGCAGCGCCATTCCCCTGCCCTGTCATGGTGACGGGTGGAGCGACAAGTGCCAATTTGCCCCACCTCTGGGGGCTGGGGGGGAAGCCTCGAGCCTCTGCACAGAGCCACGGGAACTAGGAATGTGGCGGGTTCCGCAACATCTCCCAGGTTTTGCGCGGGGTCCCAGCCGTCTGCCCTGTGTCCAGGGTCCTCGTCTGGACCCCCACCTGAGCTCTGCCCCCAGCACCACAGGCGGGTTCCCATCTGCTGGCTCTGCCGCTGGGGCTCTGCTCCTGTCCCCAGCTGTGGTCCCAGCCTCAGTCCCCTTACCCCTGTCCATGTCCTGCCTCCCCTCCCAGTGCCATGGCACAGACTTGGCCCCAGCTCTGGGGAGAGGGGGCACAGACAGGGGTAAGTTTGAGGATCACTGGCTTTCAGCACCCCCACTGCAAAAATTGTTCCAGTACCACTACCTGCAGGGCTGGAGCCATGAGCGCTGGCACGGCCTGCTGCAGGGGGAAGCCCAGAGCCTCCACGCCCCCCGCCGGTGAGTGGCCCATCATTGATTTTTTTCTGTGGGTCAATGGCCCATGATAGAAAAAAGTGCCCCAGCCCTGCTCCAAAGCAAGAGAGGGACTATGGCACACGAGGACTTGCAGACAAAAAATCCAAACAAACATACTTCAAAAACAGTGAATTCAGCAGGAAGCTCAAGGTCAGGTTAACGTTCATAGCTGCTAAGAAAGGAAACCCCCAGGGAGTGCGAATGTAGGCCCCGAACCCAGTGTGTATGTGCTGTATTGAGAGCTGAGGAGGGAATTCATAGGTTCCAAATGATTAGTTGACTATCTCCAGCCACAATCATTGTCCCTAAGAGATTTCCCCAGCTCTGTCAATTATCAGTGTAACATAGGTGAGAAAATTCCCCAGGTGACTGTTTATTACCTTTGAATTTCTTCATTATGGTCTCCAGAGATGCATTTCTTTGAGAAGATTCCCAGATTCTCCATTTCAGTTCAGAAGAAAAGGCCACTGGGTTCTGAAACTTCTCCCTCTCGCATCTGAAGAACAACCCAGTGTTACTC